TAGATCTAAATCTTTTATTCTGTTCCACAAACACAAAGTTGTGTGTGTTTTTCCTAAATTGGATCCTTGAGTTAGGATGCTTGTTTACAGCTTCCATTAGCCATGCACACTTAGCAGGCAGCGGGGTGTTGTCAGGGAAGTTAGGCTTAACACATTCTTCCTTTGAAGAAAGACTTCTTGCAGCCTCTGTGCACCAAGGACGTTTAGTATCACATTGTGTACGAGTCAAGTGAGTCTGACTACGTCGACGCTCTAGCCCTTTTGAAGGTGATGAATGTGTCTGCAGTTCTAGAGTGTTTTGAAGGTGATGAATGTGTCTGCAGTTCTAGAGTGTTTTGAAGGTGATGAATGTGTCTACAGTTCTAGAGTGTTTTGAAGGTGATGAATGTGTCTGCAGTTCTAGAGTTTTCAGGTAGGGTGTTCCAGGTGGGCCACTGTTATGTACCACTTGGGCCACTGTGACGTACCACTTGGGCCACTGTTATGTACGACTTGGGCCACTGTTATGTACCACTTGGGCCACTGTTATGTACCACTTGGGCCACTGTTATGTACCACTTGGGCCACTGTGATGTACCAATTGGGCCACTGTTATGTACCACTTGGGCCACTGTTATGTACCACTTGGGCCACTGTGACATACCACTTGGGCCACTGTTATGTACCACTTGGGCCACTGTTATGTACCACTTGGGCCACTGTGACGTACCACTTGGGCCACTGTTATGTACCACTTGGGCCACTGTGATGTACCAATTGGGCCACTGTTATGTACCACTTGGGCCACTGTGACGTACCACTTGGGCCACTGTTATGTACCACTTGGGCCACTGTTATGTACCACTTGGGCCACTGTTATGTACCACTTGGGCCACTGTTATGTACCACTTGGGCCACTGTTATGTACCACTTGGGCCACTGTTATGTACCACTTGGGCCACTGTGACATACCACTTGGGCCACTGTGACATACCACTTGGGCCACTGTTATGTACCACTTGGGCCACTGTTATGTACCACTTGGGCCACTGTGACATACCAATTGGGCCACTGTGATGTACCAATTGGGCCACTGTTATGTACCACTTGGGCCACTGTGACATACCACTTGGGCCACTGTGACATACCACTTTTGCCACTGTTATGTACCACTTGGGCCTCTGTGACGTACCAATTGGGCCACTGTTATGTACCACTTGGGCCACTGTGACTTACCAGTTGGGCCACTGTTATGTACCACTTGGACCACTGTGACATACCACTTGGGCTACTGTGACATACCACTTGGGCCACTGTTATGTACCACTTGGGCCACTGCGACATACCACTTGGGCCACTGTGAGATACCACTTGGGCCACTGTTATGTACCACTTGGGCCACTGTGACATACCACTTGGGCCACTGTGACATACCACTTGGGCCACTGTTATGTACCACTGTGACGTATCACTGTGACATACCACTGTGACGTACCACTGTGATGTACCACTGTGACGTACCACTGTGACGTACCAGTGTGACGTACCAGTGTGACGTACCAGTGTGACGTACCAGTGTGACGTACCAGTGTGACGTACCACTGTGACGTACCACTGTGACGCACCACTGTGACGCACCACCGTGACGTACCACTGTGATGCACCACTGTGACGTACCAGTGTGACGTACCACTGTGACGCACCATTGTGACGCACCACTGTGACGCACCACTGTGACGCACCACTGTGACGTACCGCAGTGACGCACTGACGTATCACTGTGACGCACCACTGTGACGCACCACTGTGACGCACAACTGTGACGTACCACCGTGACGCACCACTGTGACGCACCACTGTGACGTACTACCGTGACGCACCACTGTGACGTACCACAGTGACGCACTGACGTATCACTGACGCACCACTGACGCACCACTGTGACGCACCACTGTGACGTACCACAGTGACGCACTGACGTATCACTGTGACGCACCACTGTGACGCACCACTGTGACGTACCACCGTGACGCACCACTGACGCACCCCTGTGACGTACTACCGTGACGCACCACTGTGACGTACCACAGTGACGCACTGACGTATCACTGTGACGCACCACTGTGACGTACCAGTGACGCACTGACGTATCACTGTGACGCACCACTGTGACGCACCACTGTGACGTACCACCGTGACGCACCACTGTGACGTACTACCGTGACGCACCACTGTGACGTACCAGTGACGCACTGACGTATCACTGTGACGTACCACAGTGACGCACTGACGTATCACTGTGACGTACCACAGTGACGCACTGACGTACCACTGTGACGCACCACTGTGACGCACCATTGTGACGCACCACTGTGACGCACCACTGTGACGTACCACAGTGACGCACTGACGTATCACGGTGACGTACCACAGTGACGCACTGACGTATCACTGACGCACCACTGTGACGCACCACTGTGACGTACCAGTGACGCACTGACGTATCACTGTGACGCACCACTGTGACGCGCCACTAACAACAACATGGCTGACACTACAGGAGGAGTGTTGATCATCCAGAGTGACTGGTATGACATTCTGAGGTGAGTGTCAGCTGACACTGTCAGCTGAACCATCCCTACAGGTGCCACTCATGGCCCTCCAACCCTCAATACTAGGTGTCAGGGCCCCTCATGGCCCTCCGACCCCTCAGTACTACGGCCACTCAGGGCTCCCAAACCTCGATATTAGGGGCCAGGGCCACTTATGGCCCTTTAACTCAGTAGTAGGGACCACTCATGGCCCTTCAATACTAGGACCAGGGCCACTCATGGTCCTAATGGCCCAACTCGCAGGAATCTGAAATAATCGGGTGATCTGTGGCCATAATTTTTGTTGGTTATCATAACTTATGTTGGTATGGTTACCATAACTTATGGTGGTATGGTTACCATAACTTATGGTGGTATGGTTACCATAACTTATGTTGGTATGGTTACCATAACTTATGTTTGGGTTTTGGGTTTCCATAACTTATGGTGGCATGGGGTTTCCTAACTTATGGTGGTATGGTTACCATAACTTATGGTGGTATGGTTACCATAACTTATGTTGGTATGGTTACCATAACTTATGTTGGTATGGTTACCATAACTTATGTTGGTATGGTTACCTAAATTTTGTTGGTATGGTTACCATAAAATTATGTTGGTATGGTTACCATAACTTTTTGTTGGTATTTGGGTTTCCATAACTTATGGTGGTATGGTTACCATAACTTATGTTGGTATGGTTACCATAACTTATGTTGGTATGGTTACCATAACTTATGGTGGTATGGTTACCATAACTTATGTTGGTATGGTTACCATAACTTATGTTGGTATGGTTACTATAACTTATGTTGGTATGGTTACCATAACTTACGTTGGTATGGTTACCATAACTTATGTTGGTATGGTTACTATAACTTATGTTGGTTATGGTTACCCTAAATTATGTTGGTATGGTTACTATAACTTATGTTGGGATGGTTACCATAACTTACGTTGGTATGGTTACCATAATTATGTTTTGGGATGGTTACCATAACTTATTTTGGTATTTGGGTTTCTATAACTTATGTTGGTATGGTTACCATAACTTACGTTGGTATGGTTACCATAACTTATGTTGGTATGGTTACTATAACTTATGTTGGTATGGTTACCATAACTTACGTTGGTATGGTTACCATAAATTATGTTGGTATGGTTACCATAACTTACGTTGGTATGGTTACCATAACTTATGTTGGTATGGTTACCATAACTTATGTTGGTATGGTTACCATAGCTTATGGTGGTATGGTTACCATAACTTATGGTGGTATGGTTACCATAACTTATGGTGGTATGGTTACCATAGCTTATGGTGGTATGGTTACCATAACTTATGGTGGTATGGTTACCATAACTTATGGTGGTATGGTTATATTCAGTCTAGTTATATAGGGCATTTTTGCATTTGTATAATAATAATAATCGTTATTTGTACATGTTGTACGTAGGTGACATCAGTAACATACTGCTGTATACAGTCTCTTGTTATACTCAACATACCGGGAAAATTAGGTTTGTTTTGTCCCCAGGATGCGACCCACACCAGTCTACTAATATCTAAGTAGCATTTTTACTGCTAGGTGAACATGGACAGTAGGTGTAAGGTGACTTAACACCCAGGTACCTACTGACTGCTAGGTGAACATGGACAGCAGGTATCTTTAGGAAACACTTCCTAATGTTTCCACCCATACCGGGGCTCGAACCATGAACGTCAGTGTGTGAGGTGAGTGTACTACCAACCAGCTACAGGGATATTACAGCCCTACTGTGTGATGCATTATGAAGACTTAACCTATATTTTAGTAGTATGTGTGGAACAAGTATGGTGGAGCAACTCTATTAGTATATACTTAAAATTGTACCATTGTTCACTTAGCTACTTCACTCTTTGTATATTAATAAAAATGTTCAATAATATATGTCTAGTTCTTCATTAGTCTGAACATTAGGATCAGTCTGCTCAAAATGCACTTAGTGGCTTTTGTGCTTAACAGTATTACATGTAAACTATATTTTGTATGCTGCAAAAAAGGAATAAAGTTGTATTCAGTACTGTTCCATTGCACTACAAGTGCAGCACTGCATTAACATGACGCAAGAAAGTGTAATAGCACGATTGCAATCAAATCTTGGAATGGTAGGCCATGGCTACTACCAACACCCCACCCATTCCATTTGATTTGATTTTTCTAGTGACCCATACTTAGCAGCAATGGCGGCTCTTAGCTAAAATTAGTGCAGGTGCTGCTTCAGAAAATTTTTAGTTATTGTTTTAATATTGTTTAAAATAAAAGAACCAAAAAAAACTATGAATTAAATAAAATAGCTGGAAGCATGATAGTCATCTAATTAAGATAAGATTTTGTTCAGATTTTTAACCCGGGGTTAAGCCACAGGTAAAAGAAAGTCGTTTTCATGAGGGCTGTCTAACTTATTTCCATTGAGGTCCTCTTTGTCCCCCATTTTCTATTCTTCTTCCTTTTTTCTCTTCTGTCTGTTCTTTTCTTTTCTTTTTTTTCTTGGGTCGGTCTTTTTGTCTCTCTCCTTTCTTTCTGGTCTTTTTTCTTTTTTTTTTTTGGTTCTTTTCTCTTTTGTTTCTCTTCTTCTTTCTCTTCTTCTCTTTTCGCTTTTCTTCTCTTTTTTTTTGTCTTTTTTCTTCTCTCTTTCTCTTTCTTCCTTGGTTTTCTTGGTTTCTTCTATCTTTTCTTTTTTTCTTTTCTTTCTTCGTTTCTTCTTCTTTTCTAGGTTCTTTCTTCTTTTTCTTTCTCTTTCTTTTTTTGTGTTCTTTCTTTCCTTTTCCTTGTCTTTTTGTCCTTCTTTTCTTCTTCTTCTCTTCTTTTTTTCTTTTCCTTTCTCGTTCTTCTTTTCTTTTTTTCTTTTTTCTTTTCTGTGTTCTTTCTTTTCACTTTTGTTCTTCTTTTGGATTCTTCTTTTTTTTCTTTCTTGGGTTCCTTCTTCTTTTCTTTTTCTTCTTTTTCTCTCTTTTCTTTTCTCTTTGTTCTTTCTTTTTTCTGTCTGTGTCTTCTTTTTTCTTTTTCTTTCTTCTCTTTTTTTTTTTTGTTCTGTTCTCTTGTCTTTTGTTTCTTCTGGTTTTCTTCTCTTGTCTCTTTTTTTCTTGTTTCTTCCCTTGTTTTTTCTTGTTCTTTTTCTTTTTGTTCTTTTCTTTTTTTCTCTTTTTTCTTCTTCTCTGTCTTCTTCGTTCTTGTTTCTTTCTTCTTTGTGTTTTTTTTTTGTTCTCTCTTTCTCTTTTCCTTTTTTTTTTTGTCTTTCGTTTTCTCTTTTCGCTCTTTTTTCGTTTTTGTTTTCTCTTCTTCTTTGTTTCTTTTCTTTCTTTTCTTACTTCTCTTACTTCTTCTTCTTCTTGCGGTTTGTCTTTCTCTCGTCTTCGTCTTTTTCTTTTTGTGTTTTTTTTCTTTTGGTCCTTTGTTTATTCTGTTGTGTTCTTTTCTCTTTCCTTTTCTTTTCTTTCTTTTTTGGGTTTTTTCTCTGTTCTCTTGTTTTTTTTGTTCTTTTTTCTTTTTTTTTTTTTCTTTCTTTTTTTTTCTTGTTTTTTTTTCTCTTCTTGTTCTCCTTTTTCTTTCTCTGTCTTCTTTTTCTTTCTCTGTTCTCTTTTCATTCTCCTCGTTTCTTTTCGGGGGTTGGGGTTCGTTCTGTTTTCTCTTTTCTTTCCTCTTGGGTTTTTCGTCTCTGTCTTGTATCTTTTCTTTTCTCTTTTTTCTTCTTTCTCTTCTTTTTGTCTTTCTTTTTCTGTTTGTTCTTGTTCTTTTTTCTGTCTATCTTTGTTTGTTTTTTTCTTGGTCCTTTTTCTGTCTTGTTTGCTTTTTTTCTGTTTTTTCTTCTTTTTTTTTTTTTCTCTTCTTTTCTTTCTGTTCTTTGGTCTCCTTTCTTCTTCTTCGTCTTCTTTTCTTTGTCTTTTCTTCTGTCTTTGGGGTCTGGGTTTTCTTTCTTTCTTTTCTTTTTTTTGTTCTTCTTTCCTTTCTCTTTCTTCCTTCTTCTTCTTTGTTTTCTTTGTCTCTTGTTTTTTCTTCTTTTTTTCTTTTTTTCTTGGTGTGGTTCTTTCTTTCTCCTTGTCTTGTTCTTTTTTCTTTCTTCTCTTTTCCTTCTTTTTTGTCTTCTTCTCTTTTTTTCTGTTTTTTTCTGTTCTTTCTTTTTTTTTCTTGTGTCCATCTCTTCTTTTTTTTTTTTCTTTTCTGTTTCTTTCTTTTTCTTTCTTGTTTTCTTTCTTTTTTTGTTTTTTCCTTTTTCTTCTTTTTTTCTTTTTTTTTTTCTTTTCTGTTTTGTTCGGTTCTTTTCTTTCTTCTTCTTTGTCTTTCTTCTTTCTGTCCTGTTCTTCTGCTGTCTCTTCTCTTGTTCTTGTCTTTTTTCTTCTTTTCTCCTCTTTCTTTTTTTTTCTTCTTTTTTTTTCTTTTTCTTTTGTTTCTTTTTTTCCTTTTTTCCTCTTTTTCTTTCTTTTTTTTTTGTCTCCTTTTTTTTTTTTTTTTCTCTTTTTTTTTTTTCCCTTCGTTTGGTTTTTTTCTTTCTCTTCTTCTGGTTTTTTCTTGTTCTTCTCTTCTTTTTCTTTCGCTTTCTTTTTCTCCTGTTCTCTTTTTTTCTTTTTGTTTTCTAACTTCCTTTTTTGTCTTTCTTGTCCTTTTTTTCTTTTCTGTCTGTCCTTTTTTTTTTTTCTCTTTTTTTTCTTGTTTCCTCCTTTTTTTCTGTTCGTCTTTTTTTCTTCTTCTTGTTTGGTCCTTTTTGTCTTTTTTTCTTTCGTCTCTTTTTGGTTGTTTTTTCTTTTTTTCCCTCTTTTTTTTCTTCTTCCTTCTTTCTTTTGTTTCTTCTTCCTTTTTCTTCTGTTTTTTCTGTTTCTCTTCTTCCTCTTTTTCCCTCTTTTTCTTCATTTTTTTTTTTCTTTGTTCTTTTCTTTTTTTCTTTTTCTTTGTTCTTCTTCTGTGGTTTCTGTCTTTTCTCTCTTTCTTTTTTTCGTTTCGTCGTTTCTTGTTTTTCCCTTCCTTGGTTTTTTT